ACGCCAGTCCCTATGCTGGTTGACCCATTGCAGCCGCAGGCGGCGATGGTTTAGCGTGAGGGGGATCCTGTATAAAGGAGTCCCTTGAGCGCAGTCCATGCTGCAGCAGACGTCTATGAATTGATGAAGCACACAATGAAACACCTGTCGCTATTGACCACTGTGCTGCCAGTTGTCTAGTGGGGACCGTACTGTCAGTCAGCGCCATTCGGACCAGGTGTCTATAGTCTCGAGCTGACGTGACATTTCGGGGTCCACTCCCGGATTTCCAAGTTGTCTGACACTCGTTCGTCCACTGCTTCCAAACACACACCACTGTGCTGCTGTTACGCTGCACACGAGCGGCATCTGCACCATAAGATAATCCAGCTTCCCGAAGGCCGATGGTTCTCCCCCGTTCAAAGTCCGTAAGTTGCTGAAAACTCGCTCTCTTTCGTCGAAGAGGCATAAGTAACGACTGAACTAACGTTTACCACAAGCAGATTACCACCGATTACCATACACGCGTCGCTACAGCCGTCTATTTATTCGGATCTATCAGCCGTTCAGAGGGCGCTGCTCAGCATGCGCATGAGCTACGGGTCTGAAATTCTAATCATTTGCATAACATGCTCTACTTTGCATTTCCTGAAAATTTCAGCTATCTCGCATAAGTCCTTCATGGTGTTGCAATTTTCACAAACATGAGTTTAATTCAGTTTAAGAGAAAAGTGGGCGGGACCTACAGGCTCCTCCCACTTTTTCTCACAATTCTCACAGAAACAGATGTTAATCGACAAATTTTCTCTATCACCAATATACAAAGTATCCCGGTCAGTATTGAAAGGTTCATAGGCGGGCAAAATCCAATCCAGTGTTACAACTGCCAAGAATTTGGACACAGTCAAAGATCATGTAATTCACCATCAATATGTGTTAAGTGCGCCGCCAAACACCGATCATACGAGTGCCAAAAAGATGAAAATGCACCACCTAAGTGCAGTAACTGCGGAGACTCTCATACAGCCAACTACACGGGGTGCAGAGCCCGTCCCCGCAGGAGGGGAACACGTGCCATACCACCACCCACAACAGGACTTGCTCAAAGGTTGGTTACAATAATTAAAGAATTGCAAGAACTTTTAAAAAATCAAGAAGTGCTTCAACTGCTTCAGAGGATTATGGGGGAAGCCACTCTAGCACAGTAACATCTTTTTTGACTTGATTTGAACTTCTATTTGAACTCTTATTATAATTCAGAACTCTAATTTTCCATACAGATTATTAAAATAAATACTGGATACTGCCCTTTCAAATTAAAGTTGATCATACTAGATGGCGCCACAAGGGCTTGACAAAATTTATGTAAAACCTTCACGCCTGTGAATCACGACTTTTGTATATATATAATCATCATTTATTCATGCTCATATTTAATTTTCTGTACATATTTATGGCAATTAATGTAAATATCTCTGTTCAAGTTGTAATGTTTTCTAATCAAGGTTATATTTTCTGTACATTTTTTCATGGCAATTACTGTAAATATCTCTGTTCAAGTTTGTATTTTCTCTAATCATGGTAATATTATTGTAAAGCTACCACAACGACTGCTTATATTCAAAATGTTTTTAACTTATTTTTGTAGTTTCATGATGAATGGGATAGGGGCCGCTGCGCGGCCCAGCCTAGCTGTTGTTAAATAAAGTAAAGTAAGTATTGATTATATATATGATTACAGAAATGTCAACTTGCTCAGGACAGCAAATATGTATTTTAAGATGAAAGTTTATCAATTGTGCTTCTTGGATTAATAAATTCAATTTAGTAGATTTTTATCCACCACTATTTCTAAATTATTCGTAGGCTTATATAATTCTATAGTACTTAAGTTATATTATACCTTTTAAAAAGCAAGCAAAAATAGTCAAATATTTGCAAATTTTACTTTGTAGATAGTTACCGTTTTTTCAATTATTTTGGCTTGTCCGGAGCAGCTGGCACCTCTGTGATTAAACTAACAATAATTGAAGAAAAAGCCAAGTAAGTCAGTCAAATTAGCAACAATTACAATTTTAATTACAACTTGATTCTGATTTTGTACGAATGCTTTTCTGAATCAACCGTCCCCAAGGGTTTAAATGTCATTTTCAAAGATGCAGATAAGTGCATACGTATGCATATAAATCTACAAGTTCTTTTTAAACTTATACATTATTAAGAAATTAACTGAAAAAAAATATCATTTTGAAAAAAAATCAGTAGCTATCTGACCAAAACTAATAATTTGGAGATCTGAAATTTCAACACTCGAATTAGATAAGATTAAGTACTTGTGCTAACAATTTTAACATTTCGCAAAAAATGATTGCTCAAAAAACATTTGTTATTTGAAAAAACACGTAAGAAATGGATACCTGCAGGAGACGTCCTGGTTAGGTCAGCCAATCAAGTTAGACGCACATGCGTGATGTCACCTACAGGTATTCAATTAAATCTGAATTTGATTCAGTGTGATAATAAACCGAAGACTTAAAGCATTAGACGCAGACATGATTAGATTAGACCGAGATTAGACGCAGTCATGTGATTAGTTGTAAGTACCCAATTGCCTAGTTATGCTATGTATTCAGTAGCACAACAATTCGCGATCGCAACAAACTATAAGGGGCGTTGTTGTATGAGACCAATACCTGCGATTTCTGTATGAACTGTCATTCAGTTACTCTAGAGACGTCTGTAAAGCAGCATGTAGCATTGTAACGCTCCTTCTTTATTGTGGCTAATTAAATTTAAAAAAGAAAAATTTTTGATATTCTTCCTTATGCAAACGAAAACAAAATGGTATCTCTTTTTTTTTTTAGAGAAGGAACATCCAAAACACATCGAAAAAATATTTGTACATAAACAGAAAAAAATATGTATATTCTTATAAGAGTTAAAATCTAATACCCGAGAAATAGTTTGACTAAATTTAATGATGTAACATGAAAGGCCTATTTAAACTTTACATTCCATAATTTTAAGAATCATATTACTTCAAAAATTAAAATGAACAAAAAGTATACATAAGCCTCATAATTTTATGAAATTTAATTTTGTAAAAAAAGATTTTTGAAAACAATTTTTATCAAAAAATTTCAAGTTTCAATAAAAATCATTATTTAGAAACTAAGAAACGTAAAATAAAGAATGCTGACGAAACAAAAACAAAAAACAATTCTTTCTTGTCGCCCTTTTTTAGTGCTACAAAAATTCGTCTTTGGGATTTGCCAAAAACAAAACAAGATGCAATTTAATTTTTTCAGGAGCGAAATATTTTACTGAAAAAACGAAAATGTACCAATTTCCACGACATGAAACTTTATCTTAGTAAACGTACGTTTTGGAAATGTTATTTCATTTGGAATCTTATTTGTCAGAGTTATAATTGGCGATATGATTGTTTTGAATCTATGCTAAACTCTATATCGGCCCATTTTCCACCGAAATCCGACTGACTACTTTGATTTTAAGTAAAGTATTTTATTTTATGATTTGTCGCAAAAATTTTAAGTGTAATTTCAGATTGGCGGCACTTAAAAACCGCCAAATCTGTAGCGGCGGTGGCGTTAGTACGTAAGTACCGAATTTTTATTCCATACTTTTCTGAATCATATTACTTCAAACATAAGAATATACAAGAAGTATACATAAACACATAATGTTATACCATTTAATTTTTCAAAAAAAGTATTTTGACAACAATTTTTATCAAAAAATTATAAACTAAAAAACGGAAAATAAAGAATTCTTAGGATAAAAAAATTTTAAGAATTCTTTACATTGAAAAAATAAAAA